AGCAGTTCAATGTCTATTTTATATCCATAAGCTTTCTCCATAATTTGCTTTATTGTATGTATGGCATCTGTTGTTGATTTTCCCATAATAAATCCGCATTGATACTGTCCCATGATATTTGTAGTCGCTTCGACCAGTCTTCATTGTATTAAGGTTGACATGATTTTATACGCTGTGTATAATAATGGACTTTAGTAAGGTTTGAGAAGGAAGCAGAGAAGATGGGGCTCCAAATCAACGAAAACAAGACGAAATATATGTATATGAGCCGCAATAACCAAAGCAGAGACAGAATCGGTCAGAACATTACCATCGATGACTTTAACTTTGAGCGCATTAGAGAATTCAAGTATCTTGGAACAACAATAACTGAAGACAATAACGGATCACAAGAAATAAACAACAGGATTCAGGCCGGCAACAGATGTATTTTTGCCCTCCAAAACCTTATAAAATCAAAACAACTAACACGATGTACGAAGATACAGGTCTATAAAACAATCATACGACCCGTTGTGATGTATGGAAGCGAAACGTGGACGATAACAAAGGCAAATGAAGAGAGACTACGTGTTTGGGAAAGAAAAATCCTAAGGAAGATCTTTGGTCCGGTGCTTGATGAAGCATCAGGACAATATAGGATAAGAACTAATAAAGAGCTTGAAGAACTTTACCCAGACGCCAACATCATAAAAGAAATAAAGTCCAGAAGACTCCAATGGGCAGGACACCTCAGAAGACATTCTGACGAACGAACAGTAAGACTGGTGTGGGAGGAAGTCCCAACTGGAAGGAGATCACACGGACGCTCTCATCTTCGGTGGCGAAATAATATAGCAGGAGACCTAAGCACTATGGGCGTGGAGAATTGGATGGAGGTTGCTCAAGACAGAAAACAGTGGAGGCATGTTGTCGAGTCGGCTAAAACCCACGAAGGGTTGTAACGCCACGGAGTAAGTAAGTAAGTTTAATAATGTCAGTCTTCTATAATTATTACACATTTGTTGGTCTCCTGTTTTATGGACTGTGATAATTTGTCCGTTGTACCATTCTTCTGGCATCTTTTCTTCGTCCCATATGACTTTTATTAATTGGTATATTTTTTCTCTGAGTTCATGTCCACCATATTTTATAAGTTCCATGTTTATACCGACTATACCTGGTGCTTTACCGTTGCGACTACTGTTTATAATTTACTCAACCTTATCTTTAGTTGGTTTTTCTTGCTCGGTTTCTTTATGCCTAAGCTAATATAATCAAAATATTTTCATGTTTGTCATATTCTTCATTTTTTCTATTATCAGTTGATTTATTTAAGCACGAACAAACACTGCCTTCTGCTTGCAATATGCTCCGTGGTCAGCATACAAAAATTTATCAATGGTATTATAACAAAACAAATTCTATATATTCGTAACATCGATAATATATTATATACCTATATACAGAATTATTTTATTGTTTTTGTTCCAGAAGTATATATAAATGTCATCGAACCTTTTGTACCTTTAGTTTGTTGCTCTTTAACTCGATTCGGACAAATAGCTATTGATTTTCTTTTCAATACATTCTTGAAGGTCGTGTCGCTATTCAAATAAATTACCTAAATCCTTAGTCCTTTTATTTCAAATTGTTTTAGACACATTTTATTGAAAACATCGATTTCGTTTTATACGTATTTACATTCAAAATAAATTGTCAATAAAATATGAAACACACAGCAAATGATCCATAGTGAATTACAATCACAACATATAAATATTAGACCGTTCATCACATGATTCATTTTTGTCGTCAATATCCTTACATTTGTGTAGTTATTACAGGCCAAACAATACGAAAAAAACGTCGATTTTATCCACTAACTAGTGAATTTTTGAAACCTACTCTGTGTTATAAAGCTCACTGACAGGAACAACTTTCCAGTCCCTGCAACAATAATTTTATATTTATTTATAGTTTTTAGTGGTAAAATACGCAATTATTGATTTAGATTGTTGTGAAGCTTAAGGTTATAAAATATAACCATAAAATCGTAAAGGTACATGGTATAAGCTTTAAAGCCTTTAGGCATTGATTATAAACCACTACCATCAATGTAGTGGTTTATAATCAATGCTTTAGGCAAAAATAAATAAGAATAAGACTTACTCACAATTTATTCTACAACCAACGACCGGTTTCGCATACTATAATTTAATCTTCAGGTCTTAAGGTACATGGCAAACCTAAACCTTAAGGGCTGTTGTTAACGAACGTTTTTTTCAACGGGTAACGGGCCGATGCTAAACGGGTACCCGTGTTGACAATTCATAATTTTCAAGGTATATGCGTCCGTTGACAGTATGGAATCTCCGAAATATCGTCAGTTTTGTTCAGTTTAGCCTATTATTTGTATAAAAAATGCAGAAGCAACAGGAGAAGCGTAAAAGAAAAATATGGATACATCCTATTTTGTTAGAAAGAGAAAAGTATGATGCTTTTCATACACTTTACGAAGAATTGAAAAAAGACGAAACAAAATTCTTCAATTACTTCCAAATAGGTCAAAAAACTTTACGCAAATTGTTAGGAATAGTACATGATAAATTAAAACGTGCTGACACTAATATGAGGCTATCTCTTGCACCTGCTGATCGACTAGCTGTTACCTATCTATGAATTATGCTATTAATATAAGAGAATAAAAATTTTCGGTTATAAAAAAACTAATAAAAAAATTACAAACTAAATAGATTTTTTATCATTTAAGAATATACAATTTATATATAAAATAAAAATTACTGGTAAAATAACTTATTAAAATCTCCATATCAAATCCATATTTTAACGGCAACAAAGAAAGAAATTTATTGAAACAACGGATGCTCGTCCAACGCCGTTAACACACTTGCATAAACTAAAATGGTTCACTAAGAGCTCTTAGAACTCTTGTTAACGACAACGGTCAACGGGTCGTTTTTGACACCGTCCCGTTGGCCGTTGTTCAGTGTCTTTCAGGTTCTTATGAATGCTTGTTCACGTAACGGCAATCAACCCGTTGGTTAACTTTTCACCGTCTACGTATCCAGTCCCCCTCGGAAAGACGTTCGACGGGACGGTGCCGTGAACCCTCAGTGAACCATTTTAGTTTATGCAAGTGTGTTAACGGCGTTGGACGATCATCCGTTGTTTCAATAAATGTCTTTCTTTGTTGCCGCTAAAATATGGATTTTGATAAGGAGATTTTAACAAATTATTTCACCAATAACTTTTATTTTATACATAGATTGTATATTTTTAAATGATAAAAAATCTATTAAGTTTGTAATTTTTTTTTCAGTTTTTTTATAACCAAAAGTTTTTATTGTGTTACACTAATAGCATAATTCATACATAGGTAACAGCTAGTCGATCAGCAGGTGCAAGGGATAGTATCATATTATTTTCAGCACGTTTTAATTTATCATGTACTATTCCTAACAATTTGCGGAAAGTTTCTTGACCTAGTCGAAAGTAATTGAAGAATTTTGTTTCGTCTTTTTTCAAGTCTTTGTAAAGTTTATGAAAAGCACCATACTTTTCTCTTTCTAACAAAATAGGACGTATTCATATTTTTCTTTTAAGCTTCTCCCGTTGCTTCTGCATTTTTTTATACAAGTAATAGGCTAGTAAAATTTTTTGCTTTGACGACATGATATAACATGTATTGCGTGCAATTGTTACTTTAAAACTGACGATATTTCGGAGATTCTATACCGTCAACGGACGCATATCCCTTGAAAATTATGAACCGTCAACACGGGTACCCGTTTAGCATCGGCCCGTTACCCGTTGAAAAAAAACGTTCGTTAACAAGAGCCCTGAGGGTTCACGGCACCGTCCCGTCGAACATCTTGCCAAGGGGGACTGGATACGTAGATGGTGAAAAGTTAACCAACGGGTTGGTTGCTGTTGCGTGAACAAACATTCATAAGAACCTAAAAGACACTGAGCAACGGCCAACGGGACGGTGTCAAAAACGACCCGTTGACCATTGTCGTTAACAAGAGCAAGATGCATGGCAAATTATAGTATGCGAAACCAGTCGTTTGTGGTAGAATAAATTGATTGTGAGAAAATCTTATTCTTATTTCTTTTTACCTATTTGAAAAGGACTCACACAAGCAACATATTCCAGATTTAAAGCTTTTATTTAAGCTTTTATATGTTTAATTTCGATCTATTGTTATTGCATAATTAGCGCCCAAAGTTGAAAAACGGTACTTTATCAAAATCTACATATTTTTTGTAAAAATACTAAAATGAAAAAATATAATTTTTAATGCACTTGATTGAAGCGCTTTCGATCCTCAACAAAATGAGGTTTGGTAAAACCGGATCGGTGCATTTGTTGCTAATATATGATAATTTATTTATTCCGAGACGAAAAAAGTAAAAGGCTATAATGCCAGTTTTACACGTATCCAGTAACTGGCACCAGTGCTTGACTAGGACAGCGCTGGACAGATGAGGGCCACTACTGGCATGAAAAATAGACCATCCCAACTAACTGAATATGTACGTGTAAATCTGCGTTAAATTTGAAAAAATCACAGCAGTCATAATCTGTGTGTTGCAAACTGCTCCAATATTTTGGTGGAGCTCCAGCTCTAAACGTTTACAGAAAACATTCTGCCATATTTTTAATTTTAATAAATAAGGGTGAAAACCGTTTTTTAGGTTTTGTTTTACATTATAGTTATAAAACATAAGTCTTTATGAAGAGAATGTGCCTTAGATTGGATCTGCACGATCTTTTTTTGTCTTGGGATAAACAAATTTATATAATATCGTAATAATAAATAAACCGAAGCGGTTTTACAAAATCTCATTTTGTTGGGAATTGGATGGGCTTTAATCTAATACATTCAAGTAGGTAAAGAAACGTGCAAATTTTGGAATTACTTTTTGTCAATCAATATTTAAGTATGTATATTTCAATATCCAGAATTCTTAACATCTGTTATCTTTTGTTTCAGTATTTAATGAGTGGATGGTGGGGCAGCTATAGTTTTCAGTGTCAACCTGTAGATTATTCAAATAATCCCGTAGCTTTAAGGGTAAGTGTTTAACAGTCCTAACAATCTTTAATTTTGAAAAACGTTCAATAAATTTAAGAAGTGTTTATTGATAAATTATAATCCTAATATCCCAGCATTAACGGAAGATGAGCGAAATAAATCATACGAACAAGCATAATTTTGCTGAGAATGTTATTTTTGGGACCCCAAGAAAGATACAAACAGTTTGCCACTTCTACCCATTTTCTCCCTTCCCCGAAAGTCGCGAATCGAATATTATACACCCGTCGTAAAAAACCTTATTAGAGTAGTTTCTGTAATAAAAATGAAGTAGTTTGGGATTTTAGCACTTTCACAGAATATGTTCATAATTTACTTATTTATAAGTTTCTGGATACAGTTGAACCAGCTAATAACCTTAGTAGTTGATGCAGTTTTAATCATATAAAAAGTTTAACAATAAAATAAAACAATAAAAATGATCAAAGAATTTCTGGCCTAACTTCCTCGTATCCTTCTAAAGACAATATCAAAGTCTCTAGAGTACTCCTGGCTTGTTGTGTAGTAGGCGTAATAGGTACGTGTCTGTTGTCTTCAAGATTTTTTTCAATTACTAAATCTTCCTCGAGCACCATTACTTCCGCCACTATTTCTTCATCTGCTAGGTTGCAAAAACTGTTTGAACTGAAGATTTGAGACGTCCAGATGTATTTTAAGAGCTGTCCGGTCAGGAATTAACACGAAGCAAAATAATTACAGTTGTCGTAGACATGTCATCCCAAGATTGTTTCACAAATCTTATTGCCTAAAGCATGTCGATCCTGAAGCCTGAAACATGTCCCAAAATTTAACCCTCTTCGATTTGTCCAATTAAAAATTTAACGACCTCAATGCGATATTTAACTTTGAAACTTTTTATTATTCCCAAGTAAAGTTTTTGTAGCTTTGTCGATGAACAGCAATGTTTTTTTCTTTTTCTTGATGAGTTCTCGATTTCAAGACAACAGGCACTCTTTAAAAATTTTGCTCGTCATCCAAGCTTTTGAATTGGTCTTATACTCTGTCGGCAAAGATTTGGAATTTTTAAAACATCTCAGCTTCTTGAATTTTCCCATGACGAAAGGCACACGTTTATCTGATCCTGTCATAAGCTGCAGTACTTGGGACATATAATGAGAAATCAAGGCAGATACGAGGTACTCCAATACATTTTTCAAGGTAAAATTGAAGGAAAAAGGGCCAAAGGACGAAGAAGAATATCCTGGCTTGCTAAACTAAGAGCATGGTAGAAAGACTTCAACACAGCTATTCCGTATAGCAACCAACAAAGTCACCATAGCCAGAATGATTGCCAACGTTCGGAACGGACTTCTAACATTTAACATCTAACATCGCCGGTCACTCCAAGCATTGTTTCTGATGGTTTCTTAGGCACCCTAAGAAGAAAAAACAGTTATTCTGTCCTTGCTTTCTTTATCACCATGACAAAAAACATCGGCGTTGTAAATTTCTTCTGGTGAAAAACTGGCCAATAAATTCAGTCTTTGCCACCAAATTCAGGACTGAAATTTAGACCTCGCAAACTGTATCATCTACAGTCACACTCTCCCCACAAAATAATTCATACTAATACAAAATTTTTAAAATTTGTCAACCACCCACTACTATCCCTAAAATCATTGTAACCGTGCTGACTGGCGAAAGTTAGGGCCTTCTCATGGAGGCAGGTTCCACTCATTGCGACGTTTTTCCTTCGACATTCCTGAAACCATTTGAAGATGCATTCTTTTATATCCGGGGACCCAGCTGATTTCGACCGAAATTTGTTGACGAAGTTGCCTTGGGTCGAATACGCTAAAATTGAATCCTTACTTTTAAGTATGGTGAACTTTGCAATGTCGAACTTTTTCACAAGTTGAGATTTTGTTTATTTCCTTTTTCCGTTAGGACTAAACAGAGAACACACACACACAATCACGCGAGGCGATCAACCCTACCCCTAGGGACATGTGTATACCACTGTAAGAGTGGGATCCACATGTCCGAAAATCAAACCGGTTACACCTCACTAGTTGAGGTGGTACCTATCTGACCCCCCAGTCCTCCACCCCTCCTCAGCGTGTGACTTACGTGAGTAGGCTTATGATCTGAATGTTACGTAAGGTGTCTTGGGTAATGAGACACCTTCTGTTTTTAATGACTGTGGTTAGGCCACCTAACTGTAGGGGTAGCACACATGTCGGCTTTTCTCCCTATTTAACTTTACTGACTCTATAGAAGTTACTCTAGCTTTACTTCGGGACTCATGTCCCTAAAAAAGAGCGTGTGTTCCAGACAGAGAGCCATCGGTCTAGACCGACAGCTCTCTGTCTGGAAAAGAATGTGTGTGCTCGTTCACTCAGTCGCCGATTTGACAAAATAAAAATTTTGTTCTCCTCACCGGCTGGGTGTTCGAGAAGTGAGTCCTGGCCACCGAGCCCATGCTTGCCGCACATGACCTCGATGCTCAGAGTCCGCGTTTGATCAATATTTGATCTGCCTGAAGGGCCTGTGCCTGCTGGCTGGTATAGAGTGCCTGACGGGCCTTTTATACATTTTTATTTGTGTTATGTAAATTTTTGTGATGTAACGGGTGTTCTTGTTTATCTTGAAGATGACATGACATTAATTAGACAGTGAGCGATTTTTGTTTTTTAAAAACTAAGTCTATCTATGCTAATACCTTAACTATGGAGTGTGCATTCCCAAGTGTATAACGCTCTCACACACTCCGTGTATATGTTTTTTGTTTTCCCTATTCTAATCTAAACCTAATCTAACCTAAGTGTGCGTGTGGTGGGGTGTGCATTCCCGGGTGTATAGTGCCTGCACACACCCCGGTGTATATTGTTCTTATATACTATATTTTTTTGGTGCTCACTGTCTAATATACTCTGTAGTCGGCTCTGTGTCTATCTCTTTCTTCATTTATCCTTCTCTATATCCAATAAGTAGTTGCTTTGGCCGTTTATGTACCGTTCTAGTGTTTATGTCGTAGTTTGTCAACTCTCTTAATGTCCTGCTTGGATGATTTTCGAGACCATTGAAAATGGTGTTTGCTCTTTCGTCCATTGTCCTTAGGATTCTTTTCTGTCCAGAGTCAGAGTTTGCTCTTTCTGCCGATTAGCGAAGAGAGTTGACTTCTTAGTGCTTTTGCTTTGTAGACAGTTTGTTTTACGTGTTCCGTGAAAGTGAGCTTTCTGTCTAAAATGACTCCGAGCTATTTGGCCTCGTTCGTCCATTTTACAGGGGTGTTTCCTATAGTGATTTCCCTGTCTGGTCTCTTGAACGTGACTGATGTATCGTCAAGAGTATAAACATGACACAATGGTTAAAATTCGGCAAGTTCAAGTTACAAAAGTAAAGAATATGTATCAGTTTCGAATTGTATTTCGAGTTATCAAGGTATGTGTTCGAATTATTAAAGGTTAAATTATTCACAGTAGAATTTGATTGAAACGGGACCAGAGTAAAAGTACTAGTTATTGAGAATTTCGAGTTAAAAACGTTTCAGTTATTGAGAATCGACGTTATGTTTTCCAACGTCCTTTATAGTAACAATTACAAATCGTAAATGCCATGTACTAACATTAATTGCCACCAACCAGTGTAATTAAAATGTAAATCATAAAACCTACTCTACGATTTTTTTCTATGGCTCGATATAATTTTAACCCTATGATTATTTAGTAAATTAGTTGTTTCTATTTAATTAAATATACATTATTTTCTTGGAAAACTGGATTTAATTACACTATCAAGGAAACGTTCTTTTTTATTATGACCAACGAAGTCTAACAAATAGCGCTTGGTATTTACAAGGGGTGAAACCACTTAGTCGATAATATTGCGTGATAGTTCGACTGCAATTTTGATGGAGCACAAAGGGTTGTGGTCATTCACTCGGTTTTGAAAGGAAATCCTTTGTTTGATGGTGAATTGTAAATATGTGACGTAGGTAACTTCCGATTCCATGGGCTAGAAAAAAAATCTAATTGAAATTTATGTGTCCTACATTACTTTAGGTCTTTTAGTTACCGATGGGTTGATAAGATTGCGGTAATTACGCATTTCCCTTAGGGCCGTTTCAAAGCGATTTGTATAAGGTGCTTTGACGTTACAAATAGGGTATTAAATTGACATCAGGAAGTAATTTACAAAAAACTAACTTCCTAACTGGAAAAAGATTTATATATTATACCTGATAAACAGTAACAACTTTCTAACCAAAGGGTATGGAATGCAATTATCAAATGTTAACGCAAAATTAAAAATTGGACTCCACAATAATAACTCCACTTTCTTTCAAGCATTTATTTATGCTATAGAGATATATGCTTGAAGGAACTAATAAAGAAAAACTGCAGGGACAGATCTATGTAAATTATATCGGATAGCCAGGCGGCATTAAAGAATTTGATTCGGTTTGGAAAAAGTAACAAAGTAGGTTTACTCTGGGTGTCTGAACATACTAGATACTAGTATTAAAGGAAACGAAAAAGCAGGGGCGGGGTCGTTCATAGAGATGAGAAATGCAAGAAAGAACAGAGAGTTTTAACCCCCTTATTTAGGTAACGTTAAACGTTATACGTTATTCTGCTTATGCGCATTAATAGAAAAAGAACGGATTACTTTATTAACGGATAAGGTATTCCCTTATTTAGGTAGAAATAAGGGTCACGTTATTAAGGAATTACGTATTTGTAATGTTGTCAAATGTCATATATCTAGATCATAAAAAAAACGAAAACAAAAACCATTTGAGCTGAATGTCATATGATTTGGATTACGTAAAGATGTCATATGATTTGGAATACGTAAAGGTCGAGTTACTATACACTAGACCAGTGGTTCTCAACCTTTTTGTTGCGACGGAACACTTTTAATTACCGAAAAAAATTGCGGAACACCAAAGCAATAACATGCATATATTGATAAACAAATTAGGATTAGCACATAAATTCTGTAATAAACTTTATTATACGTACTCAAATTTGTAA